GGAACAGTCTTCAAAGTCTGACAGACACATCCGCCCTTGAGGGTGTGAAACCCCCAGGGGGCTGAGAACTGCCTGATGCAGCAGCATCGCCTGGCCAAGACGTGGACAGCTGGCCATTTGGGCCACCAAACTGCGCTGGGCGATTCTTTGTGAGAAAGATGGCTTACCCTACGGGTGACGCCCGCTCACGCCATGCCGGTGTCCCCTGGAGGACACGCAGTCCCTGGCCTGTGCCGAGCGGCGGTGGGCCAGACCGCGGCAGAAGCCCCCTGGGAGCGGGTGGGGGTCTCCAGACTCAAACCTGCGGGGGCCTGGGGGTGCGTGCTGTGTCTGGGCTGTGCGTTTGTGGAGCAAATACCTGGTGCTTTGGCAAATAGTTTATTCAATACTTTGTGGAGTCCTGGCCGAGCGTCTGCACCACGCGGGGATGCAGGCGACGCAGTCACGCTGGGGAGAGAAAGCGAACGGAGATGCCCCTGCTCTCCCGGGCCGGTCTTGGTTCCGGTGCCGTGGACCTCCGTGTGCAGCTGTGGGGTGCTGCCTCCGCTGGGGCGGCCCTGGGGCGGCCGAGCGCACTACCGGTGGCCCCCGTACTTGGCCACCCAGTCTGTCCGCCCGTGCACCGAGGACACCGGCTGGGCGCGGCCCACGACGTTCAGGGCCCTGGCCGCAGGGTTGAACGTGGGCCCTGAAAACTGCCCCTGGCCAGCCTTCGTGTGCCAGCTGTATTCTGGAAGAGACCAGAGCGGCAGTGAGCACCTCGCGGGAGTGGAAGTTCCAAGCAGAGGAGCAAATCCTACACCGGCCTGCAGGCTCTGGCCCGGGAGGGCTGAGGCAGGATCCAGCCTCTTCTCGCCGACGCCAGCCAGGGGCTGCAGGTGCACAGCGGCCAGCTGGACCCACGGCTTGAGCCTGGGACCGGAGGGTTTGCGCCCATGACACCCAGACTTTGGCTTTCCCGGGGGGGGGGTGGTGGAGCCCCCCAGAAGGCGAGCGGGTCCTTCACACGTGGGGTGGGCCAGGACGTCTGGGGACATCGGGTTTAGGTCCCTGGCCCCCTTTCCCCCTGGGCCAGCACGCCTGGGCGGGTGCCCGAGGCCCTCGCTGCATGGCCAGCACCGGCCACCAACACCGCTCTCTCAGTGCCCCTGGGGTTCCTTCCTGTAGGCCACCCCCCCCACACACACCCAGGGCAGCTTGAGCTCCCTGGCCCGGTGCTGCTCCCTCAGCCTGGTGGGAGGGGAAGAGTGGGGCGCCCCGGTGCTGTCCCCTGACTCTGCTCAAGCCAGGGAGGGGAGCTGTCCCTAGGCCAGTGGTCATGCCAGGCCACGCTCCTGGGCTGAAATTCTCGGTCGGGGTGATGGGGCCAGCCTGCCGGTGAGTGGCCTGGAGCCCTTGCAGGGCTCATGGGCGGGGTTGCTGGTCACAGTGGGGCTGCCTGCGGGGCGGGGCTCTGGGGTGCGGAGAGGCCCACTGAGGGGCTTCCTCTAGGGCGCTGTCTGCACAGAGGCCCCATGTGGAGGACACTGTGGGGAAGGGCCGTGGTGGGGTCATCCTGGGCGCACGAGGCCTCTGAGGGTGCCTGGAGCCATCTCCAGCAGCCCTGGGGTCCCTGTCCACGCCCTGTGGCGGCCGCAGCCAGCCAGCCCCTGGACGCAGCCGGGAGGGGCTGCAGGGAAGCGGGGGTCTGCCCCTCTGGAAACCCGCGCGCAGAGGCGGGGGCTGGGGGGAATTGACCTGTGGCGGCCGGCCGGCCGCGTGTGCGGCCCGGCTCCTGCACACTGAGGGCGCCGCGGTCACTTCCCTCTTTTACCCTTCCTGCCATCACCGTCGGTGGGGGCGTCTGGCAAGCAGATAATGGGGGGTTAGAGGGCTGACCCAGCAGCAGGGGGCACTCAGGCGGTCTGCCAGGGGCGTGGCGCGGGGCTCCCCTGAGGAGCCCGTGAACCCCGCGATGCCTAAGACCAGCCTCGGCACTTTCCTGTGGTCAGCCGCTGGCCTCTGGCTGCTGGTGTGCGAGGCGCTGGCAGGCCCAGCCGAGGGCATGAGGGGGACGGGGAGAACGGGGCGGGGGGATCAAGGAGACACGGGGTGGGGGAAATCCAGCCGCCCAGCGCACCCCCCTTGTCCCCCCCATCCCTCAGTGCCCCGAGAGGTGGGTCCAGCATGCCAGCCGCTCAGTCATGGGGGGAGGGAACTTCACCACCCCTGCTGCACCCTGGCGGGTCCCCTGGCCTCCGGGGCAGGGCTGGCTGAAACCCACACATCCTTGGGCCAGGTGGGAGGTGGGGCGTAGCCGCACTCCCTCGTGGGCTTGAACCCCCAAGGGCAAGTTCCCCGCATTCAGCTTCCCTGGTCTAGGGAGGGGGACTGGTCCTGGGACAGGAGAAGGGGTGGGGCCCCCCAGGTGGGGGTAGAGGGCAGGGTCCTGGGGTAGGAACTAAGGGGGTACAGCCGTGTTCCTAGCCCACTGGCACCCCCAAGTGAGGGGGGTTCCTTGGTCACCTCTGGGGGAAGCGGAGTCTGCCTGTAGCCTGGCACTGAGCGTGAGGCTGACTGGGGGGGTCGGGAGGCCTCACAGCAGGGGGCACACGGGCTCTTACCTGAGGCTGCCGGCCCCAGCGGGGCCAAGTGTATCCTCTGGCCAGTGGACCCCACTTCTTTCTTGAGGAAGGAAGGCACGTACCCCGACTGGCCGAAAGCAGCGTGCCCTCCGGGGTTTCCTGCCACGTCGCAAGCCCTCAGTCACAGGTGGGCACGAGCAGGCCCTGGAGCCCCCGCGACCCCCCCACCCCGCACGCCTGGCCCTGCCCGCTGCCCCCTGCTCTGTGTTGGGGTTTGGGGCTCCCAGAATTTGGGGCTCCGGGGCTGGAGGCTGGGTGGTTTCCTGCCAGGAAGTGCTGCCCCGTGGGCTCTCAGCTCCCCTGGCCTCGGTCAGGCCTGATTGAGGGATGCGCCCAGGCGCTGGGGTTCGTGTCCCCCACCCTGCCCTCCCCTGGCAGCGTGGGTTGGGGCAGGGGGTGCCGGAGAGGGCCCCAGCTGTGGCTGTGACAGAGCTGGGAGGGGGACTAGGCTGGGTGCCCTCCACGGGCAGGGCAGTGACAGAGCTGGAGGCTTGAGGCTCCACCTTGGACCAGGGCAGGGGTGCGGGGGGCCCCACAGGCCCTGGCACAGGGGCAAGAAGCACCTGTCACAGACGAGGGAACAGAAGGCGGAGGGAAGAGCAGGCCTGGCCGAGAGATGGGGGCGTGAAGAGAGGATGCGGTCAGTGCCAGGGCTGAGTGGGGAGACTCTGGGGACAGCGGAGCCCCCTGGGGCCTGAGGCTGTTCCCTGTGCTTGCCTTGGGCCTGGGCAGCAGCTGGGGCACGCATCTATAGAGCTGGTTCCGACTTGGCACAGCAGCTGTGCCTGGAGACCAGCCAGGGGCCCCAGTGTCCAGCAGCGGGGGGACCCCTCCCTGTCATGTGGACCCTGCCCGGCTCTGCTCAGGCCCCAGCCCCTCAGCTCCAGGCCCCGCCTCCTCGGTCCAGGCCCTGTCCTCTGCCCAGCACCCTGCAGCAATGCTCAGGCTGGGCTGCTGGCCTCTGTGGTCCCGTGGTCAGCAGGAGTCCCCGGCTTCCAGGGACCCTGGCCCAGCCTACAGGACATGCCTGGTGGCGAGGAGGGTTTGGCAGGCAGGGGGTGTGCTCTGGGGCATGCTGACCTGGCATGCAGGCAGGCAGCCGGCCAATGCCCCTCAAAGCCGTGACCCTGAGTCTGGGAAGCCTGGGCTAATGGCTTTTTTCTTTAAGTGATTGTTAGCATTTAAGAAGGGGGTCCCAGAGCTTAACCCAGGGGTGCCGATGCCAGAACTGGAGTCTGCTGATCCTCGCCAGTGCCCTCCTGCCCCTAGCAAAGCCACCAGGGAAGCCCCTGAGCCGCCTTCAGGTCAGGGCAGCCTGGGGCCCCGACTGCACACGGCCAGGTCTAGGGCCGCCCTTCCCCCCACAGCGCTCCCTGCAGTCCTGGCCTGGCCCCCAGCACCCCAAAGACAGACGCACAGCTTGTTCGCAGCAGACAGAGCTTTGCGCCTCAGCAGGACACCTTACGCTCCCCAGTCTTATTTTCATTTATACCCAGCTCCCAAGTCTTAAATCCAAATTTAATTTTAGTCATAAAAGTCTTTAAATTTGATTGCCCCTCCCCCAAAATGTAGAACTTGAAACTTTTAAAAATGGTCCTTGTAGGGGCCCCCCAGGGCGCAGTGGGTTAGCACACAGCACTAAGGGGGTGTCCCAGCCACTGCAACCTGAGTCCATCCCCGCCAGAGGTGACCTCAGGGCGCAGCAGGCCCCTTCTACCTTCCCACTGCCCCTCAGCAATGGGTATCAGGGGATCTGCCTGCTCTGCTCCCCGCTCTGTGTCTGGGGCATCCTCTCCCCCCTGCATCCAAGTGCATCAATAAATTTCTTAAAAATAAAAACCCTAAGCTGGTTGACCTCAGTGAGGACCTGCCCTAGGCGGAGGCCGCATCTGGGGTTCTGACCAGTGGGCGCTGGCCCTGCTCTGCAAGTGCCTCTCTCTGGGGCGCACTGACCCCGACATGGGGTGGGGGCCCGGTGAGGCGTCCCTGATCAGGGACCCAGCGCAGCTCTCACTCCCAGGAGGTCCCCCGCGGCTGCGGCCGGGCTGGCAGCAGACAGCAATGGGCAGCGGGCCGCGGGGTGAGGGGCAGTGAGATCTGCAGGGGGACGAGCACCACGTGCAGCCCGGGCTCCCAGCCGAGGGAGCGCAGGGACGCGGACCACCCCTGGAGCCAAGGGAACCCCCAGCCCCCCACTCTGGAGCCTCTGTCCTCTTCACTTGGGGGGGCCTAGAAACCACACCCCTGTAGGCCAGTCGCTGGGTGGAGGTTTTGTCAGCCTTGTCCCTCTGACCATGAATGTCTCGGGGTGAGACTGCACCCCAGAGGGTGCCTGGAGGCGGTCAACTGCCCATGGCCTGCACCCCACTGCAGCCCAGGGCTGGACCCCGCCTAACCTAAGCCTCTGCAGGCCCTCCTTCCTCGACACGCAGCAGGGATCTGAGGGGTAGGAGGGGGTTCCCCGGGATGGTGACCGTGCAGCCCAGATGCCTGCGGCCCACACAGCCCCCCCAGACCTCCTAAACAGCCCACGGCCCGGCCCCAAGCCCCAACACCTGGACCCCACCCCAGCCCTACCTGCGTTGTTCCTCCTGAAGGCGAGTTCTGCTCCCAGCGGCCCCAGCGACTTCGGGAAAAACGGGCTGTTCCAGCCGTGTGGGTTCACATCCTTCCCCCCGGCCACCAGAGCCACGTTCTTGGGGTTCACACCTTAAAGGACAAATGCTGCGTTAGGGCAGGTCTGGGTTGGCTGATGGACAGGGCGGGGTGGAGCTGAACCCCGTGCCAGGCCGGCCGTGGGGGTGTCTCCTCCTCAGGGTGTGGCCCAGGCATGGGGTGTGCGTGACCCGCCAGCGGGGTCCCTGGGGCGCGTCCCAGCCCCAGGCGGCCTCCACACAGCCACCCGGTGTGCCGGCACCCCTGAGCCTGGAGACGGGCCAGAGTATGCCCCGCATGCGAGCTTGCAGCGGTGAGTGAGTCCCAGGCACTCCTGGCCCAAGGAACAGGCGGGCAGCGCGAAGGCCCTGTCGCCAGGCCACGGGCCAGCGTGTCCTGTGGCCTCGAGGGCCCCCCCGACCACGGCGGGGCCGGACAGTCCCGCACCACTGCTCCCTGCCCCCCAGCGCGGCCCCAGGCAGCCCCCTCACCCGGCAGGTAGCGCGACTGCTTCAGGTAGTACTGCTTGGCCGTGGACGCCGCGGGCAGCTCAGGCTCAGACTTCAGGGGTGCAGCAGGCAAGCTCTTGTTTTCTCCGCCGGTGTGGCCGGCACCCGGGGGCACAGAGTCCACAGGCCTGGACGGACCGGAGGCCAGTCGGCTCGGTGGCCCGAGGGAGACCTGTGACCGCCCTGACCCGCGACCCCGCGCCTGGGAGACAGGGTGCCCGAGGCATTTCGGGGACCCGCGCACCCCCAGTGCCACTGCGGGCAGGCCCCGGCCTGTGGGCCCCTCTGCGCCAGAGCCCAGAGCTCTTTCCTGATGTGTTCACCAGTTTCCGTTTCAGGTGCACGTGCCGGGGGGGGCAAGGAGGACCGGGGCTGGGGGGAGCTGTGCAGGCCCCAGAAGGCCCTGGGAAATGGACCCTGCGAACGGCAGCACCAGGCACCAGTGTTGGGCCTGAGCTGCCCCGAGGACCGTGGTCCTGTGGGCACCACGGCACTGGCACAGGGCGGGGTGCTGGCCAGGGGGTCACGGGGCCAGTGCGGGTGGCCGGACTGGGGGGCAGGGACTGTGGGTTGGCACTGGGGGGCCGGCACGGGGGCCTGGCACTGGGGGCCAGCACTGGGGGGAGGCACCACCCTGTCCACGGGGTTTTGTGGCCTCCTGACACCCGTCTGTGTGTGTGAGGCAGCCGTCCGGGCGGGTCCTACCTGAATGGGGAGTCCTTCCTCCGGTTTTCTTTGAATGCGGCCACACCCGGCCGCCGCCAGAGGGGGGCCCCCACGTTGCCGTCCTCGGGGCCCTCCCAGCCGTCCCCGGAGCGCACGGCCGCCTGGCCCCAGCGCCGCCGAGGCCCCTTGAGGCCCACGGTGCCCGCCGGCTTCTGCAGGGAAGGGTCTCGTCAGTGTCTGCGGTCGGCCTGGGCAATGGGGCTGCCCCAAGTGCCCCACAAACCCGCACTCGCTCTGGCACCCATGAAAGCGGGGAGTACCTCCTCATGGAGTCACTCCTCATGCTGGTGACCACACTCTGGGCCACCCACCCTCCTCACGGGGCACACAGGCTGTGGGGCCCTGGACTGCGCCCTCCGCACAGTCTCGGGGAGCGCGAGCTCCAGACCCAGAGCCAGACCCAGGCAGGATGGGCCTGCAGGAACCCCACCCAGGGAGGCCGGCGAGGGGCACACCAGTGGACACAATCAGGGCCTGCAGATGTCCCCGGTAACAAGTTTGGCGTGGTGGGGTTGGGGTTACTGGGGGGCACCTGGCCGCTTCCACACCCGCAAGGTAGGAGCCACCTCTGTCACCCAGTCGTCGCCGCCCCACCCAGAGCAGCGCAGGGGCCTGTGGCGGCATCTGGAGGGGGCTGGGCTGCTGGCCGGGATCATCCCCCAAAGGGCAGATGCTCGGGAGCCCGACTGTCCGCCCCCCATGAGAGGGTAGGACCAGCCTGGGCCAGGCTCGGGGAGCGGCGCACCGGGCTCCCCCAGGCACCCTGCCCGCCCAGCGCCCTGGGGCCTGGGGGCGTGGAGGAGCTGCAGAGCCCAGGGCTTGCGGCCCATCTTGGTGAGGGGGAGGCCGGAGCGGGGAGAAGGCACAGGGAGAAGCAGAGATGCCAGCACAGCCCAGCAGCAGTGGCTAGAAAGGGGTCCCTGGGCCCCCACAGCTGAGTGAGGTCCCTGGGGCCAGACCAGGGTGCTTGAGGGCAGACTACAGGCTCAAGCCGGGGCCAGGCCCAGCTCCGGGCAGCCCGGGGCCTCTGGCCGAGGGCAGGGGGCGGGCCCAGCGGCCTCCTTCTCCCAGACCCAGCCACACTGACGCGGACCCAGACCAGAGTGACCGGCCGCCAAGGAGCCCCCAGGTCAGTACTATGGGCAGAGGTGGTGGTGTCCCACCCCGCAGGTGGGGGGCTAGTGACCCCGCAGGACCCAGGGAACAAGGGGGAGCCGTGGGGAGCAAGCGGTGGCTTGACCGAGCACAAGGGCGGAACCGCCCCTCACCACGTGCTGGTCCTGCCCCTTGGGTTCCAAATCCTGTCGCAGGAGGACCTCGGCCTGCAGGAGGACCGGGCCCTGGGGAGGTCCAGAGCCTGGTGGCTGTCAGCACCACCCATGGCAGGCAGGGAGGCTCCCGCACACCCCGCAGCCTCTCGCAGGCCTCCCTCCCAGCCCATGCGGGCCTGGCTCCCCCTGGAGCACCCCGTCACGCTCCCTGGTGAGAGGCCCCAAGCCCACCCACGCTGCAGACACTCACGGAGGGCGTGTTCTTGATGATGCTCGGAAACAGCGTCTGTGGCAGCCGCTGGGGGTGCTGTCGGGGTGCCTGTAGGCCCCCCGAGAGCTGCGGTGGCTGGATGGGCTGCAGGGGCTGCTGGCTGCGCTGGGCTGGGGGTGCCCCAGCATCCGGCGGGGGCTGGGCCGTGGGGTCCGCACAGGGTGGGGTGTCTGGGGGCTGCGCCGGCTGCTTCGGGATGGGCTTGACATCCAGGTGGTGCGCGGAAGAGCCCAGGACTTGGCCCACTTGGAAATAGGGGTGTTTCAGCGCCTGTGAATGGAGGAACGCAGCTGGACGCCTGTCCCAGCGAGCCTCTGGGGTCTGGCCAGCAGGCCTGGAGAGGCCCCGCACCAGCCCTCGGCTCCGGGCCCTGGAGGGACGGCCGGGGAGACTGGTTGGAGAGAGAGATGGGTCCCAGAGGAAAGAAAAGTGCAGGCGGAAGGGGTCCGGCCAGCTTGCCTGCGATGGTAATACCCAGGGCATCTCGTTTCTCACTGGGCCTTCTCTGGTCCTTTTTTATGATTTGATTCTTTTGTTTCTTAAGATTTTACTGCAGTGTTGCTGGTTTATATTGGTGCATGTTATGGGTGTGCAGCGTTACAATCTTGTGTCTGTACAACTGCATCATGATCCCCGCCAGAACTCGAGTTTTACCCCCGCCCCTCTGCACCCAGCAGTCTGTTCTGTCTGACTTTGTTCTGTTTGGTTTCTTTATATTTCACATAAGTGAAGTTACAATACTTGATTTAATTTCACTTGTGTGTTGTTGAACACGGGAAACCTGTTGCAGAGGTGAAATGGACTTCCCCTTTTTGTGGCCGAGTAGTATTCCATTCTGCACACCCTTTTGACGACCAAGTAGTAGTCCGTTGTGCACACCACCTTTGTCGTGGCCCAGTTGTATTCCATTGTGTGTGCAGCCAAGTCTTACCACTCACTCCTCAGTTGTTGGGCACTTCACCAGGTCATTTACATAACTTAGCTGTTACAAACAGTGCTGCACTGAATGTGCTTTTTTTTTTTTTCATATAAAAACTCAGAAGTAGATTAGCAGGATCAGGATATTTATAATTTTTGGAGGACTACCCACCGTGCTCTCCATAGTGGCTGCACCTGTTTACACACCTACCGATATCTGTTACAGCCTCACCAATACCTGTTGTTTCTTGTCTTTCGGGTGACAGCCACTCTCTCACATGGGTGGTATCTCATTGTGGTTTTGATTTGCATTGGGTGGATAGTTTTTAATCAGCATCTTCGCATGTGCTCATCAGCCATCTGTGTGTGTTTTTGGAGAAGTGTGTTCAGATCCTCTGCCATTTTTTCAGGGTGGTGAGTATTTGGTTGGTTGTTGCTGCTGGCTTTCTATGAGCTCCTTGTACATTTGGGGTGTTTCATTTGCAGTGCTGTTCTCCCACTTGCTTATTTTTGCCTTTGTTTCCCTTGCCATGAATCACATCCACAGAGACATTGCTAAGGCTGGTGTCAAGAAACTATATATACCCTGTGTTTTCTTCTGTGTAATTTTCTACAGAATTACTTATGTATACCAGAACTGGGTTGTAAGCCAGGGGCTCACAGGGTAAAAGGATTCCCCAGAGACAGAGTGGGGAGCAGAACAGGTGGATTTATTGAAGTACACTGCTGAGGAGAGCAGCGGGCAGGTCAGGAGAGGTCTGCTGCACCCTAGGGGTCACCTCAGGCCGCAGTGCCTGGCAATAGCTTGATAGAGCTGAGACTTTAACCCCTGTGCCAAGAGGGAACCCCTCTTGTATGTATTTTTATGGTTTTAGGTCTTACTGCCATGTCTCTATTTTGAATTAATTTTTGTGCCTGGTGAAATATTGCAATTCAGTTTTACTCTCGTACATGGGGTTGGCCTGTTTTTCCCAGCAACATTTACTTGAGACTTTCCTTTCTCTGTTGTATTTTCCCCCCTTTATTATAAATTAGTTATGTATATGTGTGTGAGTTTATTTCTGGGCCCTCAATTCTGGTCTGGCAATCTGTATGTCTGCTTTATTCCGATGCTATTCTGTTTTGATTATTGTTGCTTTATTGTATAGTTTGAAGGGGGGAGCTTAATGCTCCCATTTTCCTTTCCTTCTCAGGGTGACTTAACAAAGTGACCCTACTGGTGATTAGTGTGTGCACATTTTTCTGTTCTTCATTGTCTTGGAATTGTGTCCAATCCCAAGAGTTCTCTTCCCTTGAAGTTTTTGACTTTGATTGTTTATGGTCTTCTTTTCACTCCATGTGTGTATTTGGTATAAATTTTTGCTTTTGTTGTTGCACATAGATATAGCATATATGTGTTTAATGTCCTCTTTTAAGTTGATAGTTGTTAACTACTTCTATTTAAATACATTCTAAAACTTTGCATTTTTACCACCCCCCATTTCATATTTTTTACTCATTTTATATCATTTTATATGCATCCCTTGAGTTTTAATTTTACTATTAAAAAATAAACTTTACAGGCCCTCTCTGGTGGCTCAAGGGGGTTAAGTCTCAGCACTATGAAACTATCATCAGCTACTGAAGCATGAATTCTAACCCCAGGCCCGGAGGTGACCCACAGGGTACAGCAGACCTCTCCTGACAAGCCCGCTGCTCCCCTCAGCAGTGTTTTCAGTCAATCTGCCTGTTCTGCTCCCCACTCTGCCTCTGGTGAATCCTCTGCCCCCTGCACCTCTGGCCTGTACCCCAGTTCTATATGCATAAATAAATAAATCTTAAAAACAACTTTACATTTACTTTATCAGGGGTTGATCTACTCACTACCTTTACCCTACATTTGTCTTTTCCAGTGAGTTTTCTTCATTCATGTGCGCTCTGTAGTGGGTCAGAGTCGTTTCTCTCCAGTTCAGCATTACATCTCTTGCAGTGCTAGCTAAGTGGTGACAAACTCCTGTAGCTTTGTTTATCTGGGAAACTCTCAATCTCTAGTTCCGAATGGTAACCTTGCTGGGTAGAGAGTCCTTGCTTGGAAGCTTTACCTTTATGCTTTTTGAGTTTCTCAAAACACTGTCTTTCGGCTGGCACAGTATGTGCTGGAGCGTGAGATTAACCCGTATAGAACAAGCTGCTTTTCTCTTGCCACTTTATGGTCCTCTATCTTTAACATTTGTCATTTTCATATTATTAGTTTTAATTGTAATGTATCTCTGTGTCGGTTTCTTTGGGCTCCTCTTATTGGGAACTCTGGGCTTCCTGTACCAATATGTGTATTTCCTTCCCAGATTAGGGAAGTTTTCAGCCATTGTTCACTCAAATAATTTTTCTGGCCCCCCTCTCTCTTCCCCTTTAAAGCCTCCCCTTCCCTCTTCCTCCTGGGACCTTATCATGCAAATATGACTCCTTTGGATATTGTCCCAGGGTGCATTAAGATCTGCTCCCGTCTGGTAAGATCTGCTCTGTCTGGGTGAGTTCTGCTGCTTTGTCTTCCAGCTCACATCACTCCTGTTTTATTCCCTCCGTTGCTGCCCCTTTCTGTAGCTTTGAGGTCTGCTCCTGCATTCCTCCGCTCCGGACCTTGTGCTTGCAGTGGCCTCAATGTCTCCATCCCTCTGACAACACTGCCACTGTGCTCATCCATCCTGTCAAGCGCGGCACGGGTCTTTACACCATGAAGTTGAGCTCTTCGTCGGGTAGCTAGTTTATGTATCTCGGTTTCCTTAGGGCCTTGTTCTTTCTCTAGGTCTCCCCACTTTCCTGATGCTGTGTTGGTGTCTGTGCACTAGACACCACTGCACTCACACACAAACCTGGCTTGACCAGTCTTTCCCACTGATTCTTCCAGGTGACCTTTAGCAAGCATTTTCTCAACTCAGATTTTTAAAAAGCCAAATAATGTTTTGGTGATTTAAAAATTATATTTAATAAAGGTGCAGTGGTTGAGATGAGTTTTTAAACTACAGGTGAAGCCATGGCATTTTAAAGATCATGGTCCTGGGATACAGCTGCAGGTGGGTGTTGATGGGGAGCAGACAAGGAAGTACCCACTCCCTCCCCTGGTGGGAGCCCAAGGGGTGCCCTCACCCCGACTTGCAGAGGGGCACACTATGTGTCCAGTGAACCCGGGGAGTGGCAGTGAGGCCTTGGCACCCCCGTGATGGCTTCTTGCAATGTATCCGCTGCAAGCATGAGCTTCAGTCATGATAGACCAGCCCCTTCATCCAGGGCCAGGGCCAGGAGGACAGAGAATGGGGATGCGGCCATCTTAGAGACACATCCAAGGTAAAACTGTGGGATTGGCTACTCTGAGTAAAAACTCAGGGTGAGACCAGACCCGTGTTTGTCAGTGAAACTGCCCCTCACGTCATAAGCCCCGAAGGGTCTTAAAAGGTCTGACAGGAGAGTCGCTTACCTGGCTGGCGGTTGGCCTCTTCTTTGGGTCCCAGTTCAGCATGTCGGTCATGAGCTGAATGGCCTCATTGCTGGCATTGGGGATGAGGGTTTTCAGGTTGATGGGCACACACTGGGGGAAGCGGAAGTTCATGGAGGATGCCAGCTGGTGCCCTTCTGGCCAGTCGCTCTGTTCAGGGACATAAGGAGGCTGTTGGCCACCAAGTGGTAACCACCAGGATAGTGAAAACACAGGGACCAGGCAAGAGCACTCATAAACATTTTAGTGTTGGCTTATATAAAGAAATGTGGGGAAAAAAACAAAACACCCCAGATCTCAGTGTAGAGGGGGCAGTGGCTGAGAGTGGGGGGAATGAAGTAACACTTTTATACATTGCGGAATAGTAAACTCTCATTCACATTTGATCCTGGAATGCTGGTGGTGGCACCTGGGAGACTGAACAATGAGGACAAACCCTTACAAAGACACCAATCGTGGCAAAGTTCCTGCTGCTGTGTCATACTGGGAGTCAGGTGTTCAGAGCTGCCCACAGCCAAGGCTGCACGTGGCCAAGGCAGGATACAGTGGCTGTGCCTGCTCATTGGCATGAGTGACAGGCACTCTGCTTCAGTTCACCTTGCATCTCAGGAAGCAAGGTACAGCTGGATGCTGCAGTTCAAGAAATCAGATACCCGTGGCTCATGGCCGAGGGATTCAGAGGGAAAGAAGAGGCTGGGCACACACGAGGCTCAGGACTCAGGGCTAGTGCACAGATGCAGGCCAACACCCAGGGGCAGGCGGGCAGACCACCCTGGCCACAGGGAGGTGGGCACTTGGCCCTCAACCTCGGCTGAATGACAGAACTGCAGAGACTGGCTCTCGCTGGAATTCTTAAAGAAAGACCAACTCCTTTCTTCTTCCATGTTAGGATTCTGGCTTTTTACAACCCTCCTACTGCTCCAATAAAAAAGTCAGAGGGGCCCTCTCTGGTGGCGCAGCGGGTGAAAGCACAGCACTAAGAAGCTAAAGCCACTTCTGCATGAGTTCGATCCCCGCCTGCCCCGGAGGTGACCGCATGGTGTGGCAGACCTCTCCTGGCCCGCCCGCTGCTCCCCTCAGCAGTGTGCTTCGTCGATCTGCCTGTTCTGCTCCCCACTCTGTCTCTGGTGAATCCTCTCACCCTCCGCATCTTTGGCCTGTGCCCCAGTTCTGTATGAATAAATAAATAAATCTTTAAAAAAAGAAAAAAAAGTCAGAGGATGAGAGGATTAACTATTAGTGTAAGCCTGCTTGAAAGTATAAACATTAAGGCTAAAGCTAGAATGAATCAAAAGCTGTAACAACCTCAGGCGAAGGTCACTTACTTTTTTGGGAGTCCCTAGGACTTGGCAAATCTTGAAGATTTCGTCGACCTCGCTTGTCCCTGGGAACAGAGGTCTTAGCGTGTACAGTTCGGCCATTATGCTCCCGACAGCCCACATGTCGATGGGCGAACTGTAAACTGAGGAGCGTAGCAAAACCTCAGGGGCTCGGTACCTGTGGGACACACAACAGCACGTGGCTCTGGTGGGTTCCGGGGAGCCGCCGCGGCCTGACCCGACTGTGCAGTGCAGACCAGGTGGGCGCAGCCCCCCAGGCCGGGTGCTGGTGCTCGGCCACACGGCCACGGAGCTCTACCTGGCTGCTGGCTTTTGCAGCCTGCTGCTTGTGGCGTTGAGGAAGCTCATTCCCTCAGTGTTCAATATTTTTAATTGAGGAAAAGACTATTTACTGAACAGCAGTCTCCCTTGGTCTCTATTTCCCGGGTTGGAACGTGTAACTCTTTCAGTCCAGACGTCCGGCAATCTTGTCTTTCTGCTGCCGGCTGAGCCCCTCCCCTGGCAGCTTTATGGAGACCATGCCCGGAAGCATGTACAACGCAGCTCTCAAGCTGCCCTGGGGACACCCCACTCTCGGCGGGACCCCGTGTCTGACTCAGACCAGCTCCTGCGTCAGCAGCCCCTCGGCCGGCCCTTCTCGAGTTCTCAGGTTCTGCCTGGCAGAGCGCAGGGGGTCCCCCTTGCTGGGGGGGCACATTTGGGCTGTTTCTCATTTTCGGCTGCATGTGAGCGCCCAGGGCAGTGCACAGCTGGGGTCCAGTCCAGAGCTGGTCTGGAGCTCTGTGCACCCACTACCGAGGGCACAGCACATGTCAGGGCATGAATTCATGAGACACATGGGTGTCTCATGTGGGGGTGCTGGTGAGCCTTTCCAGGCCCCCGACACTCCGACCAGGAGCGCCTGGGGCACTGATGGCCTCACACCCCTATCGGGTATTTTGACAAATGCTTTTAGGACATGGACACAACTTCACTGCTTTGAATGGTTTGCCAAACTGTATGCTTAAGACAAGGCCTCAGATTGCTCCTGTTATAGTGCAGAGTCCAAATTCACCCATGGAGGTGGTGAATAACTTCCCGCAGGGACGCTCCAGAACTGCGCTCTCTGCTGCCCTCCTCCTGGAGGGACGGGTGCTCTTTTCCTGTTCCGGAGCTTTGCTCCCAGTCACCGCAGTCTTCCAGAAGCGTTGCAGGCCATGGGTTCTGGCCTTCCACTCACCAGAAATTCTGACTTCCAAGGAACGTGGAGCGAGATGGCTCAGGCACAAAGGACGTGTCTGCACACCATGCTCTGGGCAGTGAGTGCACAGAGCTCCCTACCGAGCTCAGGCGCCTGGGCATGACCGACACAGTGTCCGGGTGGCCGTCCCCCCACAGCTGCGGCGTGGGGCGGCAGGCAGAGTACTGAGGGCGCTCACCGCCAGGGCCCCATTGCGCTCCTGTCTCCATGTCTTGACTGAGTGAGCGTGCACTTCGACGTGGGGCTGCAAACACCCGCTTCCTCTCCGGGGCCAGCTTGTGATGAGGTTACGTGATATACGTACGGGTATCTAGAAACCTTGCCTCGAGAGCCCCAGGGCCCGCAGGAGTGCTGGGCCTTGACGCCCCAGCCCTGCCTCGCCCGCATCACTCTGGCTCGCCTCCATGGGAGCAGTCCCTTCCCGGTCTCCCCAGACCCCTGGTGGGTTCACTGACCCACGCCTTTCCTGGTGTGTCCATGGACAGATGCAGTACCCCGCGCTGGCCCGTGCGTGTTCTCCTTGGCTTTCTAGGGGGGTTGGACAGCTGCCTGCTTCTGCTGGGCAACAGCCCTCCGCCCCCAGCTGGGTAAACAGTGGCCGCAGGGCTTCACCTCATTGCGCAGCCCCCCATGGAACAGCCCCACAGCTCTGCACTTGGGACAAGCCTGGCTGTGGAATTCCGGTTGGGGACTTTGAGGGTAGTCACTGGCTGTCATGTGTTGACGGTCCCTAAGTGGCCAGGCAGAGACAGTTTTGCCTTCTTCAGTGTTCCCAATGCCTGATGTCCTATCCAACATGTAGTAGGGTCTCGGAAAATGTAGTAGGGCCTCGGAAAATAGCTGTTGAATGGATGAGTGAATCTCTTTCTTTCTGTCTGCCCTTCACTGGAGTAGCCATGATCCAGGTCTCTTCTCGCCCGGTAGAGTACAAATCCGGTTCTGCAAGTGGCCCTCAGGTCATGCCCAGTCCACCCGCAGGTCCCGCTCATCCACCCACAGGTGCTGCCCACTCCACCTGCAGCTTGCCCACTCACCTGCAGGCCACGCCCTGCGCTTGTTCTATACTCTACAGGGAGCCTCCAGACAGACCCTGCTCGCTGAGGTCAGGGACGCTGCCTGGGCTGCGCCCAGGCTCCGCCCACTCCACCCTGCCCATGAGGCCCACTCCACCCACTCCACCCACTCCCCGGGGCCCCCACCTTGGCCCCACCCAATTTGGTCAGCCCCGCCCACTCCCCCATCCAGCCTACAGGCCCCACCCACTTGCCCCTTAAGCCCCGCCCACTCTGCCCACAGGCCCCGCCCTCCACTTACCACCTGGTGGACACGTAGTCTGTGTACGGTGGCTGCGACCTCAGCTCTCGCGCCAGCCCAAAGTCCGCGATCTTCACCAGCTCCGGCCCCATGCAAAGCAGGTTTTCCGGCTTCATATCCCTGTGGAAAAAACCTGGGTAACGGAGAGAGGGAAAGCAAACGTCGTCACAGAAGCACCTGCTGCAGGAGCGCAGCGCGGCCAGGCTCTGCGTGACCCAGGACGGTCCGCCTGGCCGCCTCCCCAGTCCCGCGCCTGCTGCAGCCTGCCGAAGGTCCGAGCCTTCCCTCAGGTGCCTCCGCTACCAACTCCGGTGTCTAGAGTAACCCTACGATGATGCCAACAGGTCACCCGGGCTGGAGGGCGTGGCTCCTCCAGTGCGGGCTGGAGGGCGTGGCCGCTGGGGTTTGCCTTTAGCTGGGGGCCACCTCCCTCCCGGCAGGTGCCCAATGTGGGCAGCTGCGAGTGATGTCAGCCGAGGACTCGGACAGCTGAGGACTCGGACCCAGCTTTGAAGCCAGCTCTGAGAATGTGCACCACTTGAGCGCTTTCAAAGAATTCACGGGGGGTGGTTACACTCACACTTGCTGCCCTTTCCATTGCCCAGCCCAGGAGGGTCCCCAAGGGCCCTGGCGACCCTGTCAGAGCTGGTGGGAGGCCAGCAGTCCATGGCGGGCACCAAGAGCCCCGTCTCCGCAGTCTCCACCTAGTCTCTGGTGACCAGTGGCCAGTGGGCTGTGCAGGCCTCACAAGTTCCGCCCCTTGGAGACCTGGGCACCTTCTACAACACCCAAGCCTGCAGGCTGGAGGCGTCCCGGGGCTGTGGGGCCCACAGCAGCCTCCCTGGCCCAGGAGGAGACATAGGAACAAAGAGCAGATAGCGGGGTGCAGGCCGCCTGTGGGGTCAAGCTCCTGACACCAGAAATGTAAACACCCCTGGGCAGAAACCCTGGAACACCTACTTCCTTTTTGACAGTTACCTTGGTTTGATGGCATGCAACAAACAACCTGAACTAAGATCCTATAAAGCAGAAATACTGAAAATAAGAGCTGCTTTCACTTCAAAAACTAGAAATAGCTAATGTAAATGTCCAGTGAAAGGGGAGGGCGCCAAGCAGCGCAGGGTCCGGCAGGCTGGCATCGTGCACCGGTCAGTACATCCGAGCACCCCAACCTCTCCTAGGAGGGCCCGGCCGCCCGTGATAGAATTCGGGGCCCGATGGGGCAGGCTGGGTTGTGATGATGCGACCATAAACTTCCAAATCCTGCTGTGGAGGAGGCGTCCCGGGCTGAGGGAAGCCTCTGTATAGAGCGTGAGTTAAGCACCCCACACGTGACCTTGACGATGACCAGGGGGACGCCCACCGTGCTTGTGGATGAAGGCCAGTCCCTGCAGGATCTGGTACATGATGTTCCGAATGACCGACTCGGGGAACAGCTTGTTTCTGTGAAGAATTGGACCCACACGTTATCACACGCCTCCGCCTTGGGGAACCCGCACCCCACCACACAGCAAGAGGGGCCTGTCCTTCTGCGAGCCTCCCACCCTGCCGGGGGTGCAGACAGCTGAAGGACTGGCGGATAGCTGAAGATGGGAGATAAGGCCCCGCCAACTCTTTGTTCAGGAACCCCCAACAGTGCAGCTCTTGTTAGTACTGTGAGGGGAGACCCCTGGACCTCACTGCCCGCTGTGCCCCCCGCGGCTCTGGCTCCCTGGCCTGGCCTGGGGGAGCCCCACACCGCTGGCCCTGTCTCTGCAGGGCCAGAGGCAGACAAGGGGTTTGGAATCCCTGGAGGGCTTCGCCCCCCATCCCCACCTGGACCATCAAGTTCAGACCAGGTTCAGCTCCTTATAAAGGGCGATATTTTCATGAGATATTTTACCCTTCACGGGGTCACGACAAGAAGGGGCGACTGCCCTGGGGGTGCTGGGTCCTCTCAGCCCTGCGAGCAGGAGGACGTACCTGTCCTTCATTAACTGATAGAGGTTCTCTTTCATATACTCAAATATAAAATAAAGGTGGTCGTTTTCTCTGATAACTTCTTTCAGTTTAATCACATTGGCATGATTCAGCTTCTTCAGAGACTGCAAGTAGCAAACAGGCGTCATAACCCTCCAAGAAAGGCAGAAACGTGCTCCCCTGGACCTCCGAGGCCACCAGCGGGGTCCCCGCCCACCCAGTCTCCCCAGCGCCCCCCCCAGCAGTATCGGGATGTCGAGAGTGTCACTCGCAACGGCTACCACGCACTCCCTTGCTTCTCTCAGTCTGTGACTTTCTTTGATTTAACCACGTGACACATTCCATGGCAAAAGCCTCTAAAATTTACTGGGGGCTTAGGGGTTCAGTCTCAGACTGTCACTGACGCAGCCTGAGTCTACCCCCTCCAGGGAGGGACCCCAGGGTGCAGCAGACCCCCCCCTGTCTCCCCGCTGCCCCCTCAGCACTGGGTCTCAGTGGATCTGCCGGTTCTGCTCCCCACTCTGTCTCTGGGTGTCCTCTCACCCCTGCACCTCTGGCCTGCACCCCAGCTCTTGTGTGCAAAAAAGCCCAAATTCACCCAACTCCAAGTGTACAGTATTGGGGAAAGGTGTCCCCAGTGAGTTGGACTGGGGTATGAGCCCCCACTTTCCGGCAGGAGGGTGCTATTTCCTGTCCTCCGCCTTTTGGAGCTGAATCAACTTCAGGAAGGGGAAGGAGAAGCTCAGGGCACCGAGGCCAGCTCCTTGGCCCTGCAGCGGCCCCCCAAGACGAGGCCCGCCCCCACGCCCTCCCCCCACCTCTGGGGTTTACCTTCACTTCTCTCAAGTTCATGCATTCATCCCAAGAGTAGAATTTCCTCTTCATCCTGCAGAAGGTGAGGGTGCTTCAGTGCGCAAGCTGGGGGCCCGGGGTCGGCTGTGCTCCGAGGCAGCTTTCACCGCAGCGGGGGTCCCCTCTGGCCTGCACTTTGGGGCATCTGACCTCTCCCTGATTACTCCAACTGAAGCCCCTGCCCCATCCTCATTCTCTGGGCCTGAAGCGGTGAACGCAGACACCGTGGCCACAGGCAGGGAGGGACAGCGCAGTCAATGGCGTGAAGGCGGCGTCTGGCGGTCCTTGCTCTGGGCGCAGCGGAGGGGCCCGGCCTCCTCAGGCCACTCAGTCACCCCCTGGACTTTGGTTCTCACTCCCCAGGTGAGGGGAGAAACTTAACCCCACCCTGGGCTGGATGCCCCTGAGGCTTTCTGGCCCAGTGCCATGCCAGGCAGGCCAAGGCGCTGCGGGATGGAAGGGCTGTAGGCGCCCTGACCCTCGCCGGTTGACGCCAGGGGCTGTGGCAGGACAATAGCCGTGGGCAGAGTTTCTCGCACCCTTGGGTGCTGGGGTGCCCCCTCCTAGCCCCTTCCCTGCCGGACTCGCCTCCCACTCCTCAGGACGAAGGACTGGTGGCGTCTCCCCGACAGGACCAGTCCACAGAGCTCTCCGGGACGTCCTTTGGAACAGCTGCCCAGTGTGGGCGGGAGGGTGTCCGCTTGGGTACCTGCCCAGCCGGGAGCACCTGTAGATCCCATGGCGCAGCCCCAATGGGGCCCGGCTCTGAGCCCAGCCCACTGGACACAGCCCATGGGAGCATCCACGGGACACAGCCCACAGGAGCGGCCCACGGGCGCAGCTCTGCTCTTCTGCAGCTCTGGACTAGAAGAAGGTGGTGGCTCCACCTGTCCCCTCATTTTCTGAAAGTGGGACCACCGTCGGGTCCTGAGGACCCTTGTTCTAAAGAAGCAGCAGCCTCTACACTGCATGTTACACCCCAAACATGCTGGGGCCATGGGGCTCTGCTCAGACCTCTGAGGCATGGGGAGCTGCGCACGCATCTTAGCCGACCGATGGCACTGGACCCCAGGAAGCGGAGACCGCAGAGCCCGGGCCACGCCCCCCCGCACAGCCGGCCGGCCCGCCCACGGCATGAGGGCCCACCTCTTGATGGCCACCAGCTCCCCCGACTCGTTGCTCCGGCCCATCAGCACGCTCCCGTAGGTGCCGTCGCCCAGCTGCCGCATGGTAGTGTAGCGGTTCATCCCGCGGGCGCTGGGGTGCTGGGTGTGTCGGGTCGCTAGGCAGGCGGCAGGCGCGTCATGCTTGGCCCAGCCCAGCGCGGCTCATGAGCGAGAGTGGAGAGGGGCCTGGCACAGGAAGCCCGCCTCCATTCTGGTGGATGCCCTGCAGGGCAGACAGGGGGTGGTCATCACGGCGGGGTCCCCCACACGCCAGAGGGGCATGGGGAGGGCAGCCGTCATGGCAGGGGACCCCCATTATACCAGTGGGCACGGGGAGGGGCGGCCATCACAGGGGGACCCCCACATGCCAGTGGGCATGGTTAGGGGCGGCCGGCATGAAGGGGACCCCCACACCCCTGGGGGCACAGGGACCTGGCCTGCTCCGACACCAGGGTTCCACGCCCCACGGCCTGGCCGCCTGCTGTGCGGGTGAGGGGCACACACGGCTTAGGCCTCCTCCATGCTGCTGGGCTCGCACCCCTGAAGCCCACGCTGCCCTCCAGGGAACCGAGTGGCCACACCCAAGTCCTCCAGCAGCGCCCCACCCCTCCTTGCCTGAAATACCAGGTGCTGCCCACAGATAGCTGGGCACCTGGACACACCCAGAAGGTGGTGGCCGGTAACGGGACAGGAAGCGAAATTAAGGGGTGCATGTATGGGGGGGGTGTCTGTCTCCTCTGTGCAGATCATGGAAAAGCGGGCTTCATGTCAGACGATGCCAGGGGGGAGGGCCACTCCCAGGGCCGGGCAGCGGGAGTCGCGCAGCCGGGAGAGGACCAACGGCTGGGGAAGGGGGAGAGCATTCCGGGGGCAGCCACAGGTGACAGGGGCCCTGTGCCCCGCACAGGGCGGGTGACAGAGACCCCACCCTGCCCAGGCTGTGCTGGGTACTGTACTGGGTGGCAGCAGCGAGCCGGGCCTGGTCCAGTGGCTTCCTCTGAAGACTGGGGCTCTGGCCAGGGCCTGAGCCCCGCCTGACCGCCAAGGGAGACGGGCCACAGGATCCTGGAGCAGGGCTGAGCCTCTCCACCGCCACTCCCCGGGTGGGCAGCACAGCCCCATCCCTGAAACCAGGACCCCAGTGCAACACTGTAGGAGCTGGGCGTACCCCAAGCTGGGAGCAGCGGCCCCAGGCCCCTGGGGCTCATGCCCCCCATCTGAGTAAGAACAACAGGGAGCCCCACTTGGACACCAACTGAGCGCCCTCATCATCTCCCCATCTTGGCTCTCTTACTTTTATCCAAGTGCACGGCTGTAAATGTGAGCTTGGCTCGCTAAAGCTTCGGCGGCTGACAGGGATTGGGAGGGATTAAAGAAGATTAACACCGAGGGCAAATGGAGGGTAACCTGACCTGCTGGACACACCAGGTGCCCCCAAGACTCCCCCGGACCCCAGCAGGGGACCCCACACAGGTGATGTCTGAAAAGTCCCTCAGTTGCTTAAAAGGAATGCTCGGAGCCAAGCTCTCACGGAGGCCTCCATAAAGCAGAACAGAGCCCTGAGTGAGGAGGCTGATGCCCCCACATTATTGTAACGCTCAGCAGATAGAACCCACCCCACTGAGGCCTCACACCCTGCCCAGGCCGGGGTTGAGGGCTGAGCGGCAGACGTGGCTTGGCCCCAGGGTCTTAGTTTCTGACCAAAACAGATCCAATGGCTTTGACTTTATGATATTTATCTCCTCGCTGGACCCGATTATCTAAACATAATGACCTACATCTTTTTTAGAACGGACACTACAAACCTCCCTAAATTAAACTCTAATTTCCGGTAAAGAAACACTTTTCCCTCCAAAGATTCTGATCCTGTTTCTCGAACCCTTAGAGTCCCAGGGTCAGTGAGGCTGTCCCCCACCTGAGCTGCAGTGGGCAGTGGCCTGACCTCAGGGCCCCTTTCAAGCCCAGGGTGGGGTGGGGGTTCCGTTGGGGCCCAGCCACCTGCTGGGGTCCTGCTTCTCCGGGTCTCCTCCCTCATCCCTTTTGCTCAACTCCATTCACTGCCCTTCTGGGACCCAAACCGCCCTCAGCCCCAGAAGTAGTGTCCGCTCCAGCTCTAAGGGGTGGGGGCGGGGTTTCAGGAAGAAACTCCAGCGGGGATCCCAGATGGATGGACACTCCCTACCCGGCCGCCTCCCTCCCGGGGCCAACCCCCGCGTCCAAGGGTGCGGGGAACGGGCGGGGCCCACCGCCCTCCGTGGGCGCAGGCCGTCCCCAGACCCAGCCTCCATGTCCTCGTCCGGACCCCACCGACACCCCGGCCCCGGCCGCGTCGGGTCCTGACCCTACCGGCGTCCGGGAGTGGCTCGGCGGAGGGCGGCCCGGAGGACGCGGCCGGGAACGGGCCGGCGGCGGGCCGAGCGGACCAGGCGGCCGCGCCGCTGGGGTCACCTGCCCGCGACGCTTACCTCGCTCGCTCACCTCGCTCGCTCGCTTGTGAAGCTCAGCGTCTGTGTGTTTCGTCTCCCAGGCAACGGGGGGCGTGGTCCAGAGGCGAGGCCACGCCCATAGCGCGCCTGCGGGGCGGGGCCTCCGGGAACACCTGCGAGCCTGGGGCAGGTGTTCCACGTGATCGAGTTCGGGACCGGGAAGCCCCTTCCGTTCCTTGTGGGGAGTTGGTGCTTGAGTCCCCCAACTCTCCCCCAGGCTTGGGAAGGCAGGAGAAGGCGCGCGCGTTTCCGCAGGTGCCGCGACACTGCTGGGGTGAGCTGTGCGCCCCACCCGCCTGCCCACAGGTGTGTGAGCCACAGGCAGGGGCACGACTGGGGACTGGCCGCTTTCAGAGGGTGGGGAGGCCCGGAGTCGGGGAAATGAGTGTTGGGGAATGCGCAAAAGCCTGGACGAGGGCGCGTGTGCCTCCGAAGTGGGACCGCGGCAGCCCACGAGGGGTCAAGCGCTGCTCGAGAGTGGACAGGGCTCCGGGCCCCACCGGCCATAGCACTCCTGCCCAGGAGGAGCAGAGCCAGCCCGGCTGTGACCGGCAGCAAGCATCCCAACAACAGTCCCTGCGCGCTGGGGGCTTTGGCAGAGTGGACTCAGCAGGCTGAGGTGACCGGGAGAGTCCAGTGCGCGGCGCCCGAGAGGGCCCAGAGCTGAAGAGGACCAGGATTCGAAGTGGGAGGCGCTCACAATTTGGGGGGCGGTGCCCAGGGGTGTCCGGCTCAGCAGGAAACTCCTAGCCAGAGAAGCAGATTTGGAGACGGATGGGGAGAGATGCTCAACCCAGTCTGGAAAATTCTGAGTTAGAGACCAAGGCTGCGGGCAAGAGAAGGTGGCCTGGCCACAGGTCATGGCCTCGGGCTGGGGCAGAGCTGGGCTGGGTGGCACCTGCAGTCGGGGCGTGACTCGGGGCCCTGGGTGCCCCAGGCGGCGGGGTGGTAACCCCGGGAGTCAGGAGTCATGAGTGTTAGCTGTGGTTTGTGGGGGCATTATAGTCACACTATATATTCGGGGTGAATGAAAGAGTAGCAGGGATATTGGAAAAACAAACTATTAAAAAAGCATTGTTTTTAAAAGAACATGTTCAATAGTTTGAGTCCAAGAAAAAGAACTGGCCAGAATCTGCAGAAGGCACTCAGAAAGTGGTAGAAAGAGATGGAGGGAGGACAGACAAAGATGAGAACGCACCCTCATCCCAGAAGGTCTCCCCAGGGCCAGGACACGCCCACAGCCAGCTCCCCCCCAACCAGGCTCCCGCATCCCTGAGGTTTCTCCCCTTCTTGATGGACTCGCCTGTTGGCCTCCGGCTGGCCTCCGGCCGGGCAGGACCTCTGAACCCCGCGCCCTCCCCTCCCAGGATTTGTTCCTTCGCTTTGCCGTCTGCTCCCCTGTGTCCCCACGAGATCTCACTCTTTCTGGGACTGTGAGCCCACTGCCAGCTGGTCCATAACAGTCCGTTGGCACAACAGTGGGTGCTCAAGAAATGTCTGAGTGAATGCAGCCGCCCAGCCCCTCCAGAAGAATTCAGCGCTGTGTCACTGGGCTTTTTCTTTCCATGAGAATTCTGGGGTGACTTGGAGCTGGCCTCTCGGGGACCCCCAGGCAGCCCCACCGAGGAGACAGCAGGGCGACCAGCCTGCCTGGGACTGTGTCCAGGTTGTATTCGCTGTCTGAAGTTTTGCCATCATGCCTGTCTCAGGCACAGCCAGAAAGGAAGACCAGGAAAGGCACTTTCAACCCTCCACTGGGGGCCAAGCTGGGCTGAGGGTCCCAGAGAGTCAGGACCTGTTTGAATACTCCCCCTCCTTTTACTGAGGGGTTAGAGGTTTTTCTAGTCTTGTTGACGCTCGGCTGTCGGGGAGCAGGTGCGTTTTCTTCCTACTTGCTCTTCGGGGCTGTTGAGTCCAGCCCACACACTTCTGGTGTCTCCTTTCCAAGGCAGCCTGCGGTCCTGTCTGCTGCCTCGGCCTCCAGAACATGAACTTTAACCCCCGGCCCTGCAACCAGAACCCGGGGAGAGAGGCGGGGAGCCTGCCTTCCGGGGCTCCGTGCTGGGCTCCAGCTGAGTGTCCACCCTGCAGGCCAGGCCCGGCACGGGGAGGAGAGAGCCCCTCCGGGTGCCCGTCTGCCCGTCTGCTCCCCTCCACCGCGACTGCTGGGTGCCCAGGGCTCTCTTAGGCCTGGGACAGTTAGGTCTGTCTCTGGGGCATCTTCTCACCCCACACCTCTGGCCTGCACCCCAGCTCTTGTGTCCATAAATGAATCCTTAAAAGAAGACAGTGTTTCAAAAATCTATTTAATGTGTCCTAATCTGTCCCAGTTTTCCAGATCACAAGGTGAGGGGCGCCCCCTTTCCCATCCTGCTCTGAAGCCAACACACGCTGGCCACTTTATGCTCCTCAGGTCCAGTCGCGCCCCATCCCGCCCATCTATGTGAAGCAGCCATGGGGCAGCAAAGCTGGATTTGTGCGCAAACTTCCACTCGGGTCTGGAAGCCCGATCCAAGCTGGTGCGCTTTCCCAGTCACCTCATGCACCTGCCTCTTGGCCAGGGCAAGGCTCCTCTGGGGGCCAACACCATGGGGGAGGGGCTGCACTTTCCCGCCGCCATTTACAAAGCTGGGCCTTGGGAGATGAAGCGGTCGGCAACCCCGAAGGCTGTTCTAGTAGGCTGTCCGTGTATCCGGAGACCAGATGACATGACCCAGGGGCCGAGGTTGTGAGAGTCTCTGCTTGAAGCGCCAAGGAAGAGCCACACAGACCGGTGCAGGAAGAAAAGTGGCTGCCAGGGCATGAGGCCCAGGCATGGGCAGGCAGTATCAGCTCCAGGCGCTGACCACTGGGTCCGGCACACTGTCAGGGACAGGCGCACTCCAGGCCTCACTCCGGGGGCTTGAAGTGCCCTGACAGTGCCATCTCGGTTCTGAGCGCATTCCCCACCATCAGTGCCTGTCCATGTGGCTGCCCAGGGCAGTGCCGCTGCCTGGCTCTTTCACTGTGTGGATGCCATGCTGTGTTGTGAGTGGTAGACTCAGACTTCCTGGCAGTCGTAGCCTGCGAGCAGGTGGATGGGCTCCCCGAGGCAGAGAGCAGAGCCCCAGGTCTCCGCTCTGGCCATCCTGGGGGTAGCTGGCTCCTGGGGCAAAGTCCAGGCCCCTCTGCTGGCCCCAGGCCCCCCTGGGGCTTCCTGAGGAGAGAGCCCCCTGCCCAGAGTGGCCAGCAGGTCTGAGGCCTCTGGGTGGAGGGCCCGCGGGATGGTCCCTGGAGCACAGGCCCAGCCCCACAGGCTGGCCCCTGCCGGTGCGGGCTCCCAGGGCTGGAAGGCCTGGCAGGACACATGGGCAGTGGCCACCGTCTGCAGCCCGGGGGCCCCTGCGGGAGGCCCCGGGAAACACCTGCAGGGTTCTGGGTGCCGGTCAGGGTGGGCGGCCGCAGTCCCGTCCCTGGGAGCCGGCCTCCAGCCGGGATGTCTGTGGGTGGCTTCCTCATGGCACTCCCACCCGCCGGACCCGCCTGTCTCCCAGGGAGTGGCGCTGAGGGGACCCCTGCAGGGGGCAGGGGCTGGGCCCATGCGTAAGGGATGGGGGTCTGCCGGCTCGTAGCTGCATGGGGTCCATGGCAGATAGACAGTCGGGTCTGGGTGTCTCTGGAAGGGCGGCGACAGGTGGCCGGGCAGAGCGGTGAGGCCACAAGGAGCGGTGTCGGCCTCCGTGTCTGTGGGGAAGCAAGGCTGCCCGGGCAGTGGGAAGCCTGCGTCTGGGACATTCTCGGCGGCCAGGGCCGCGGGGCCAAGGGAGGCAGGACTCCCTCCTACCTGGAAGGTGCAATGTACTAAATGGACTTGTAAATGGCACCGACACTCTCCCCGCTAGCAAGCATCAACCAGCCCAACGCAACGCAACGCACTTCCGAGAGTCCAAGGGGGCCCCCCTGGGGACGCAGGGGTCAGTCTCAGCACCATGAAGTTGTCTGCAGCCACTGCAGTGTGAGTTCGACCCCTGGCCAGGGAGTGATGCCAGGCCCAGCAGACCCCTCCTGTCTCCCCGTTGCCCCCTCAGCAGTGGGTTTCAGTGGACCCGCCTGTTCTGCTCCCCACTCTGTCTCTGGGCAGTCCTCTCGCCCCCGCACCTCTGGCCTGTACCCCAGCTCTGCTGTCTCCATGCTCCTGGAGGTGACCATCTGGTGCCCAGTGCTGGGCCAGCAGGTGCAAGGAGCGACAGAGAGGCCATCCCAGATCCACTGCTGGAGGGTCTATGAGGTCAGGCCCGCTTCAGCCAGTCGCCCCTGGGGATCCTGGCCCCCCCCCCCATCCTCTACGCAAATGCAGATTCAGTGTTCCCACCGCCCCCAGAGGGAGTGTAGATGGACTCAGCGCCAGGCCAGCAGAGGAGGTGGGGGGAGACCTGTGGACACCACCTGCTGCAGCTGCCTCCCGCCCAAGGGCAGCGGGCAGCCCCGGGGGTCCAGAGCCCTAGAGAAGGGGCTGTTGTCTTGGGTGACAGAGGACACAGCTGCTCGGACACCCTCTGCGCCCAGCAGGCGCCACCACCAGGGGGCGCCCCTCTCCTCTGGAAGATATCCGTGGACCCAAGGGCTCAGTGACACTCTGCCAGAGATGTGTCGTTGTCACATAAAAGCTGAACTTCCACGAACTGCTCATAAGGACCGTCGTCTAGAGCCGCCGCCCCCCACCCCCTCACCTCTGCGCCCCGTGCCCTCCTCCTCTGGGACCGGAACAGGCAGGGCGCCTGCCTCCTGACCGCGCTCCTCCGGGCTTCCGTCTCCGCCTTGCTCTCTGGCCGAGGGTGGTCGTGGACGCCCTTGGCCTGGTCAGGGAGGAAGCAGGAGGCGGGAGCCGCGTGGCGGGCACCCAGGGGAGTCAAGGCGGCCACACCGAGTCCTGCTGGCTTTGGCCCAGACCTCCCAGGGCAGAGAGCCAGGGGTCTGTCCTGCGGTGTGCGAAAACACGTCCCCAAAAGTGGGGCCCCCGCCCCACCTACCTGAAAAAATATCCTGTCGCCGTCGAGTCTCCAGAAGTTGGTCACGGGGTATCCGCTGTGCCCCCGGCAAGGCACAAACTCCAGAGCGGACTGGCAGCCCGGGCAGAGCTTCTCTGCAGAGCCAAGGGGTGAACGAACCCAGACCCCAAAGGGACAGAGGTCTCCCCTACGCAGACCCTAGAGGGGCAGGCCTCCCCCACCCCCCAAAACCCTAAAGGAGAGCAGGCCTCCCCATCCTCCCGCAGACCCCGCGCTGCAAAGGCCGCCCCACCCACCCAGCCCCTAAAGGGGAAGGGCCCCCCAGGCCCCGGAGGCCCTCACCCCGCTGCTTGCGCCGCGCGCGGTCGCAGATGGCGGGGCGCAGGTGCAGGCGGGAGCCATCCGGGCGCACGCAGCCCCGCGCGCACAGCACAACGCCCAGGCAGGACTTCTTGAGCACGCGGCCCTTGTGGTTGTTGGTGTTGCGCATGGCCCAGCCGCTGAGGTGGCGCTGCGCGCGCTGCTCGTCCGCGGGGTACACCAGGCGCGCGTGGCCATCCGGCCACTCGCAGAAGCGGTCGAAGAGGATGGGCTCCTGCAAGCCAGCCAGGGGCGGGGCCCTGTCAGCCGCAGCAGCACCACCCCTCCCCGCCAACTCGCGCGTCCTATTTGGAGCAAAGGCCCCCCAAACCCCACAACTGCGCTTCAAGAAGACTGCGCCTCTGGGTCGTTCCCGCCATGGCGCCCGGGCGCCCCACAAGGACCCGTGAGCTTGCACGTCCTAACGCTCAACAGGCCCCCCCTTGCGTCTTTCACCTAACCAGAGGAGCCCAGAGAGGGCAGCAGACCTGCGGTGGCCACAGCCCTAGGTGGGCTGCAGGCCAGGCCTGGCAGGGGCCCCACCTGCTTCAGTGCCCGCCGGCGCTGGAGCGCTGCTTACATGCTGCAAAGGGGGAGGCTGGAGCCCAGAGCAGAAGCGATTGGGAGCTGGTGTTTGTGCCCCAGCCCGTCACTAGCTCCAGGACAGTGACTCTGGGAGCAAGAGGGCACAGAATGCTGTCCCCCTCCTGCCCAGGGAGCCTCCCAGCAGGACAGAGGCCAGCCAGCAGATATAGGGGTGCTGGGAGAAGCCCCTGCTTCCCTCCCCAGCAATGGGCCATCAAGGTCCTGTCCTGACCGTGTCCTGAGGCTGGTTGTCACCTAGAGCAGTGGTCTGCCACCAGCCAGTCCTATCTGGTGCTTGTTTTAAGACTGCCCTCAAGCTGAGGATGGCCGTCCTGTTTAATGATTGGGGGAGATGGAAAGGATTTGGGGACGCCTGACAGCTGGAGGGGCCCCAGGCAGGTGCCCAGATGGAGCTGCGGGGAGCCTCTGGCTGTGGTCTGTGCAGAGGCGGTGTGTGGCGCTCCCTCCCCCCAGCATGTGGCAGGACCCTCAAGCTGCAGACCCAGGCTGCACACCCACCCCAAGCTGCACACTCAGCCCCCCAAGCTGCACACCCAGCTCTCCCCAGGCTACACACTCAGCTCCCCCAGGCTGCACACCTAGCCCCACCAGGCTGATGCCCAGCCCCCCACCCCCACCCCGCGCAGTGCCTGGGAAATGGCCCTTAAATAAAAACAGCCAAGCCTGCAGGGTTGGGTTTCATTTGCAACATGGGCTGGTGCATGTCTCTCTCTCTCTCTCTCTCTCTCTCTCTCTCTCTCTCTC